GAAGTAGTTGAGCGTATCAACAGCTTCATTTATCTAGGGAGTCTCATCAGTCCTTGCGGTCTGGAGTGTGACGAAATCCCAGCATGGATACAGAAGACTTGACTAGCTTTTGAGAACTTGCGTCATTTATGGTGTAGGCGAGATATCCGTCTATCAGCCAAAGGACGGATTTACTGAGCAGCAGTTCGTTCCGTCCTACTTTATGGCTGTGAAACATGGCCGGTAAGAGTAGAGGATATTCGTAGGTTACTAGTATTTGGTCATAGGTGTCTTCAAAACATTGCTCGTATATCCTGGGACCATAGCGTAAGTAATGCAGTTGTTAAGAAATGGGTACTAGTTAAGGATGGCAAATAAATTGATGAAGTAGTGAAACTTCATCAGTTGAGATGGCTGGGACATGTGTTACGTATGCCCAACCACCGACTGCCTCGATGTGCGATGTTTCGTGGTGTAGGAGTAAGATGGAAGAAAGCTAGGGGTGACCAGACCAAAACATGGCACAAATCCATGAAGTCACTGACAAGTGGACTTGTAGTGAACGAGAACACGAGTGAGGAAAACAGATGCATTTAACACAATAATACAGTGTATCTCATCAATATCTGAATACCATATAGTCAATCGTCAATTTGCAAAATATTCATGCATCAAATCAAACTGGATTGTTTCTGTTGCAAACACCAATCCATTGTCTCCCATTCCATTGTTCATGCATTTTTTTACAAATTCCAATGTGTTCTCGCTCTACCTTTTGTGATCTTCACCATCTTTTGCTGCCAGATATTACGTTCTTTCAACGCACGTTATATACTACTTATATCAATATAAGTAGCTCTTACCACAGACTGAGTCATGTTGGTAGGTGTAGACTACCTGGTTAGGGACCGCGAGATGATAGCAACCGATGGTTAGAGACTTTGAATGACATGGCTCAAAATCGTTTGCAATGGCTCAGGTGCATCCACTCTTTGTGTTCTCCCAGATTCTAATTTTCTGAATTCTTCATGTCCCTCTATTTTTTTCTATTTGCAACTTTATTTCACTCCATTATATTCCTTGAATAACATTTTCAAATCCTAATGTTTCTGATCACTGCTTATACTCTTACTATCTCTACCACAACGGAATTTAAATCGATAACTGCATCTCTGTTCTAATGCGGTATGTCAACTCGAACTGATGTACGTACTTACGAAGTTCTATATTGTTGCTGACCAACCGACTGACTGACTGTAACATTTAACAGCAAGTTGATGTTTATGTAGACACATTCAAAGATATCTCATTTCCTTTTCTTTTTTTCAAAAATTTGTTCTTCTATTGATGGTATCAATGTTGTGAGTATCATCCAGATCAGAAAATACAACATCTACTCTATTACATATCCTTTTTTATATTCTTGAAATAACTTTTCTTAAATATTATTTATTCAACTATAAATTCTTAATTTCAATGGTAAAGATTATGAGTCAGTTGAAACTAGACCACCATGGAAAACCTGGAAGCACTGAACGGCCGTTTCATCTTACTTAGTATGGGGCTCCTCAGCAGTGCTCATCAACTGATTGGTCCTGTGTTCGAATCTCTCGAGGCGGGATCGTGGATGCCTACTGCCGAGGAGTTCAATACTAGGACGAAACGGCCGTCCAGTTGTTCCAGGTTTTCCATGGTGGTCTAGCTTCAACTGACTCATAATCCTAACCATTGAAGTTACTATAATATCCACAAAACCCATCTGATATAAATTCTTAGTTTATTTTCTTCTATTGTTTTGTTTAAGATGGGATGATAAAACAATGCAAATAACTGATTCTATATTGGGTGAAATGTTATCTATTATGCCAATAATACATATGAAACCAGAAATGGATTATATACCAGATTCAAATGATTATATTGCACCATTATATAAAACTGCAGCCAGAGCTGGTGTATTATCAACAACAGGTAAGTTTTTAACATTAAAGTATTTTCTCTTCCGTTTTCGTCATTTTACATTTAATTGTTACTATTTAAGGACAATTTCATTTGTAGGTAGTATTTGTCACAAATTGATATCATCTAAGGTATTAATAAAAAGCAGGTAGAATTGGTAGGCTGTTTGATCAAAATAAGAAACTCTTCAGAGGTGAATAAGCACAACCCATTTAGAAATAGAAATCAGGACCATCATCTCTCTCTCTCTCTATGAACTCTAGTTACTATGACCACTAACCAGGTGTCCGATATTAAAATTTGAAATTCAGTTTAGTTGCTATTTAGTGTTACAATCATTCTAAGTCACTGGTGACAAATGTTTCACTGGAGATACATTTAAATTTCACCACTCTTGACTTTTCATCATAATTCATTTCTTACATCCTATTTGCATCTAAATTGAATTTGCCTTTTATATATGTATATATTTCCTATTATTAACTTATGATAACAAGTATATATGTTTCAGTTGTTATTAGGGACTGTTTTTACCGTCAACCGTAAGAAAAGGTGAGGTTTCATAAGTTTCCTACAAACATAAAGTCAGTCCATCATAACGAACTTCATTGTAAGATCATTATCATGTAGTTATAGTTTATTAATGAACGTTTAATAATTGGAAGACCGAAGATCCTGGGTCCAAGTTCCGTATGCGGAATCATGGATGTGCAATGCGAAAGAGTTCCATACTAGGATGAAACGGTCGTCTACTGTTTTGAGATTCTTAATGATGATCTAGCTTAAACTGACTTATGAATTCAGCTATTAGAACTCTCTACAAATCCCCATTCTGATAATACTATAAATTAGTCAATATTATTACATTTCATTTATCAACTTATCTAGACTAAATTAAATAGAAACAAAGGAGATGTTTATCAAAAATAAAGTTTATATTGAATTTAAATGGACTATGCACTAGCATATATATGAAATGATGTACATTGGGCTTATATGTTAATGTGGTAGTCAAAACACAAATCCAAGGTTATGCATTTGACCAGTCTCAAACAGAATAACATACAAATCCTGGATTCCATTGATGTTAAGCCATTCTAAATACAACTTTTATTCATTATTTATTTATTTTAACACATAGATATTGTTACAAGGAGGCACCAGATACATATGCGCCACACAAATCTCATTTGATATGTGTGAGGGCTATGATACTACCCGGGTGCCCAAACCGAAGCAGGTGGTTTTCTTAGGGGGCCACTACCCGAGCCTTCGACCTGAAGGTCTGATCCACAAGACAGTGGAGCATCGTAAGGAGATGCAGTATCATGGAAGCCGGTGACCAACAATTTGTTCACACGCCATTTGTTCCCGCAGGATACTGGAGCCCATGCGCACCATTGGTTTGGAATCCGGTTAAAGCGCCGGACTTTCGCTTTTCGTCATTTCATTTTCGTAAACAACACCCACGCCACGAGAAGGCAGTGAGTAAGACTTCCCTGACAGAGGCTATTTACGCGTGGTCATGTGAGAGCATTTGGAGAGGGAGAGTGAACTCTCCCCACTCTCGGCCATACCAGGGCATTTGGGGGCAATACAACTTTTAAAGTTCATAAATCAGTTTCATGTAAATATTTGGTTTTATTATTTAGTAAATTTCATAGTGAAATTTACTTTAACTCAAATAATAATCCCATTATTTTGATGAATTAAAAAAGGCCATGTTTTGTTACCTATTAGTAATGACATTTTATAGTCTACATGACAATCTTTCAAAATCTGGGAGCAATAAACAGCCAATTAATTTTAGAGTAAAACTTTAAAACATTGTGCATTAACAGTCACGCTGAGGATTAAACCCACAGCCTTCTATGTACCGCAGCTAGCGCCTATCATTTAGACAAGTAAGCCAGTACCCAGTGGCCTGTTAACATATCTCGCTGCAACCAAGCTGCGACATTCCGCGACCATCTTCCAATACAATTGGTAGGTGACAGTCTCAGGTCTGGCACGTTCGAACTCTACTGTTTACAGCTTCGAATGACTGAGATTATTTCTACCAATTTCCTTACAACCATCTAAGATCAATATCATAATTAGTTTTTATATAATATCTATCCATTTATCATATGTTTATCATTGTTATTTTGCTTCACTTTAAGGTATGTCAACAAATTTCATAGTCGCTGTTCCATTGAAAACAAATAAGCCTCAAGCGTATTGGATTGAGATGGGTGCAAGTTTACTATGTGAATGTGTAAATCCCTAAGTAAAAACAATCTTTAATCAGACAATCAATCATAAAATCAACTTATGTTGATGTATTTAATTTGGTATTCCACTTTTATTTACTTAATAACTACGTAAAACACTAATATGATCGTGTTTTATTACTTTACTTATCATCTTCAACTAGAAAATATTATTTTTCAAATCCCGTCTGTCCATACGATTTAAATGAACAGTCAGCGATGTTGTGGACTAATGTCATGTCTTTGTTTGGTCACCTACATCTTCCTCCTCATTTACTGTTATGCTAGCCAGTACAAAATAGAGTAGGTTGTGGTTAACTGTAGGTGACACATGTTCCAACTACCTTAGTCGATGAAAGTTTACAACTTCGTTAACTAACACATCCTCACCTAGTATACAATGCTTGATCTAAACACCAAAAATCCAGCTGTCACCATCCAGGAGCAATGTTCCGAAAATATTTGTGACAAAATAATACTAACTTAAGTAGGTCTTCGAGGCTTGACCATAATCTACCATTCACGATGTTGATGGATCGTGAAGAAACTGACTAATTGAAAATCAGTTGAACTAGCTTTCAAAGCACTTTATGGATAATGAAATAACTACACATACGTTTCAAAGATAGCATAAGCTAACACCACAGAATTGTAGTCCTGGGAAGTGAAACCTAACATTGTGTTGTAACGTGTGACTGCAGGTTTAATGCACAGCGTTTTATATCGATCGATCGCAGTGACACGCAAACACGTAATGAATGACTTAGAGTCCCGATTGGCCCTGCTTCGCTGTCTATCCCAACCACTTGAGTCCAGAACGCAAGTGACAGCCTCTGAGTTATGAATCATTGTATTTCAGACATACTCTATTTATATACTAACCAAACATACCACATCGTACCATAAAAAAAACATTTTGTACAATATTCAACAAGTGAACAGATATCGACCAATAGGAAATGTCCATTTAAAGTCCAAAGACACCATTGGACTTAACATGATAATTATTGGTCTATCCTTCCGCATCCACAACACCTCACTTTTTTTTAAAGATTCGGAGTTGATATCCGGATTTTGAAATTTTCTGGGTTCATCCTCCCCCACGAAATAATGTTGAGTCCTCATATCCCCAAGTTAAAATTAATTTGACTTTATTTAACACATAATTGTCACATGGAACAGAGAAGTCACTAAAAGTGATTAAATAGTGTGGACCAACGTCGCTTGATATGAGGTCATCAACGTTCGATTCTTCTGGAACATTATCAAAGAATTCCTTGAAAATCTCATTCGTAGATAGTTGATCACTGGGATAATTAACATTTATCAGAATTGTATTAAATTTCTGATCATCATCTGGTGCATCTAACACATTTTCTGGTACAAGAGGATTTAGATAATAAGATTCATCAGAATCTCCTGTTGTTGAATGATGAGGACCGTTTGGAGCAGCTAGACTCAGTATACTGAAAGATTTGTTTCCTAGTGGGAGGGTACTGTAGTTAATTTATGAGCATTTAATAAGAGATCTTCTTCCTGTGAGCTGGGTACATCACTGTCTGTACACGTTTTAGGAACAGTGGGATTTGAACCCACGACAGGGTATGCTTATGAATTGGACACTTCTGGATCGCTGGACAGATAATGAGCGACTGCATCGTTTGCATTACTGATCATCAGGGATTCATAGAGGCTTATGTTTTCATATTCATATGTCCTGCAGTTATTTTCGAGTTCAGTATGCATGTGAGAAATTAATCCATCAATTTCTTTCACATCCCCGAAACATGGGAGATTTAGCATAAATAGTCTAAAACATTCAACTGGCTTTCTCTGAAACGCTGCTGCTGGCGATCAAGTAGTAGCTGAAATTGATTAGGAAGGATAGTCATTTTCTGAAACAGCAGGGTAATGAGAAATACTGTGACCAATTAACAACCAATGGCTTCCAAGATCACCGATAATAGACTCGCACGCTGATTGGTCAAATCAATTAGGCTGAATCTCGTCCAATTGGAGGGTTCAAAATTTTCTTTACCCCGTCGCCAATTGTTGTATCTTGAAAACTGATTTCTCGATATACCGCGTATAACAGAGCACTAGAATACCAAAACCCTTCCAAGTCGAAATAAGAAGACAGAAGACTAACGAAAGGAATATTATTCCAAACAGTGTCAATCATAGTACAAAATTGTCAGGTATTTATAGTTTTTAGTGAGAACGAAATCATCATTAGTCTTCCAATCCGCATACAGGGGGTTATTAACATTATCCAATCAGGAAGCTACACGCTGGAATTCTAGAACATTCTTCCGAAAGGTGATTGGATGAGACGTCTTCGACTTCTTCTGAGCCTCTTACAGCTTCCTCGAGTTCACCGGTGGTCCGTCGTCATACATTGAGAACATCAACATGTACCTTGTGGTTCGATTACAGGAGTAATATTCCGCAGGCTTACAACGTAAAAACTAGCCGCACATGCGGAATAGCAGGTTAGAATTGGTTAACAAGGGATGGCGAAGGAATGCTGCCGGAACAAACAGGTTTCTCAGCCACTACACGCCTACTATGTTGTCAGAAAAGCCAATCCCAGCTACCGCGTCGAAGTACCAGCTATAGCAGGGTACAGATTCTCGTCTAGTCACACTTTTATTAGTGACAAGCCAACACAAAAACTAATACTTGTTGATTAAGTAGTTCGACTTCGTGAAGCACTTCAGACACATATTGAAAGCGAGCTCTCGTAGTCAAATATGATTTGTTGTTAGTAATCCTTCCTTAATAAATTTTCTACGTAATATTTTCCGTCTGGTTTACTATCAATCATACGAAAACTATTTTGAAACCTAATCGATCCACCCCCAGTGCTGAAATCTTGTAGTAACGCTAACTTTCAGATACCAACCCATTGGTTATATCCATCAAATTCAAGCAATCACCAACGTATTGAAAAAACATCAGAGAAATATCTACCAAGTCAATTTTATCCATTAATATAATTCATAAAGACCAAATCTATTATCTTATATGAAAAGTTCATTTCAGAAATAACTTGAGTCTTGAGGTTTGTTATACACAGAAAGAAACAATCATCCTGTCACTATTTGGACAGTAAAACTCAGCATCAAAGCAATCATCACTAGAACTAAATTTGTATTTTGATTAACATTATAGTATCTTCTTCACTACAAACATTGTTACAGATTGTTAATTAAAAGATATCTCTTATTGCATTCGATGAACTACGAGTTAGTACCCACCAAGAAAAAAGGTTAGGTAGGATAACATGGTTTTATTTTACCCCGTTAGGTTTTTATCTGCTAATTAATTACGACTTGAAAATATTTCGAACGCAGAATTCCAAATGAATTTGACGAGAAATTATTAACATGTATCAGCATGTCGTAGCAGGTTCAAATACAGTTAAGAGGACTAAATATTTATGTAGCCTGCCCCCAAATGCCCTGGTATGGCCGAGAGTGGGGAGAGTTCGCTCTCCCTCTCCAAATGCCCTCACATGACCACGCGACTGACAATCATGAATTATTCGATAAAATTGCAAAAACTACATGCGGGAAATATGCATTAACTTCAATTTCCAATACGAGAGTGACCATGGTGAGATCATATCTTGAAATAAAACAAAAAACATCCATATTAACAATTCCTACCGAAACTAGACACAGGATCATCCTGCATTTTAAGCTACATCAAGAGCTCTAGATATACTTTAATTTCACATACCTCACGGGCAGTGTGCTCGAAACATGCTAACTGATGGCTAATAATGACGCGGGTTTGCAAATTTAGTTAAAAACAAAAGGATGAAAGTGAAATTCTTTGCTGTATCAGGTGGATAGGAGTGCAATCAATTTTCTACTAAATGGGATACATGGGCGATACACTGCTTCATCTAATGAGAATATGTCGACAATTTAAAATGTAATCATGGAGCAATTATTAGTACAATAAGGACTAAACAACAAACTAATAAATACAGATGAACTAAACCCTAATTAGCTGAGTACACTGTTAGTTAAGGTACCTTAACTATGATCAAGATTTTTTTTAATACAGACTACTACTACTAGTGTAATAATTCTTGGTGGGCGCTGTACACTATAGAAACAACTTATTTGTGAAAACACAAACCACCTCCTCGCCACCTATCAAACGAGCGAAGACAATATTTTTTGATAAACTGAACCTATCGAATGCTACGAGAAATGTATCTTTCAAGGAGAAAAATGTAGTTGAATTAGACATCATTGTTAGATTAAATAATTTGTAATTTTTACCATCCAATAATAACTTTCGAAGATCTATTGAATAAATGCTGCCAGTTTATTCATGGAGTAAAAAACACACACATTATATATATATATATATAAATATTACACAAGTTAATGAGAAATATATGATGATGACTGATGAATTTTAGCTGAGAACGGATTCATAGAAAAAAATATAGGAGGATAAACATTTAAAATTTTTACTTATTCTATGCAAAGAAAACTAAGTGCCAAATACAATGAGAACGAACAGTCATAACAAAGAAACTGTAACAGGAAAATATATATATAAACATGAAGTAAATAAATACTCTGAAATAATAACAGAAAAGCCATAAAAAACTAGAAAGTGTCAAATTATAAAACCTTTTATTATACATATATTTAAATATTTTATGATTAAAAGAGCTGTACACATATTCTGACGGATAATGAACTTAATTCAAACCTGTACATATATATTGTATACTGGGGGGGATTTTCTTAATTATGCAAAAGCATGTACATTTAATAGTCCAGTAGTATCACAGGCATTACTATCGTTTATGACATTACTATCTTCATCTTCGTAATCTATAGGACTATCTTCATCTTCGTCATCATCATCATATACAACAATATTCCACTCCTCTGTTGGAACATCTTCTTTATCTACAGCAGATGGATCTTCTAATTCTATACCTGGTGGGAGTTGAGCTTGTACTTCTTCCCTGTCCATTACACCTTCTTCATGCATAACAAAATCAGTATCGTAATCTTTATACCAAGCCGGAAGACGACGTGCTCTAGACATACGACGATTAGTTGTACTGCTTTCGTTTAAAACACCAACACCACCTGTACTACCTAGAATTTTTATTAGTGAATCGAATCAAAATATCAACACTTACCTGAAGTGTATTCTTCATTGCCTTGTACTTTACGAGTATTGGATTTTATGAGAGTAATAGTACGTCTAGTAACGTCTAAAAACATCATATGACAATTGAATAAATGCATAATATACAAGATACAGTAAAATGAATATTGTAGATAAAGATTCAGTAAAATATGCTGTCAAAATTTTTATTGCTTATAATCAGTAGGGGTTCTTATGTTGCTGGATGATAAATAAAAACGTAACGAGATTTAGTGTAAATTATTTACCAAGTACAAGTTTATCTACTCGGTTTTGATGTACATTATTTAAGGGTTATTCATGTTACCGGACTGAGACCAAACTAACGTAGGTTTCACAAAAAAATATTTTGGATACACAGATATTGTAAGCTGTGGAGTTAGCCTTTCGAACTTACATTTGAACAGGATTTTTATATTGTAACATTCCTGGATTGATGGATTGTAAAGGAATACCAGTGAAAGTCAATATATAAAGCATATGAACAGACCTAGTGCAAAACCATATATCAGTTGAAGTGTTTAAATCTCATTTGAAAGAACCGATAGGATATTAACAGAAAGGAACGTAGGATTAACAATAGTGCTGATAATACAGAACTAATTTGTAGAAGCAAAATAAGCAAGTGAATGGAAGAAAAAGACACTGACTCAAGAGAAAGTATTGAAAATTTCGATCGACTTCAAGTTATAATCCTTTAGTCCCTAACTACTGTTTCGGTTGTTTGATAGGGGAGTGATCAGAACATTTGCATCCTTCTGAACGGCCCCTGCTAATAGACAGTGATTGATACCATATATTCGTCTAGCCACGTTTGACATTCTCTAATATACTTCTGTGCTAGTAAGTAAAAGGGACCAAATCATGTGATGACTGATATTCTCTATGTACCCCGGTAACCAAGTTTAGTTTAACTTTAGATTACACTTAAACACAAAGCCTGTGATACTACCTAGCTTTCAAAATCGAAGTATGTAGGTAATGTTTGAGACTGATGCCCACTAGTTGAGATTTGAGCGATTCAAAAGCCCAACTACCATTCCAGTGAAATAAGAAATTTGTAACATTTGACTAAGTCGATTAAGGCTTACAACTTTATTAACCAATTTACCACTTTTACCTTGAACTGTAAGTCTAAGCACGAGTTCCATCATTAGAAGGATAAGCTTCAAAGACAAGTACAATTGAATACTAGATATCATATTTTGGATTCTTGAATACACAACGGATTGCTACGCAATATACTTGTCCTTTGAAGGATAGTTATATCACTTGTACCGCTATTGGAGAACAGATATTAAACAATATCAAACGTATTTGAACACAATATTAAGGTAACAGTTATTAGGGATACACATCAATAATACAATGTATATAAAATAATTAAGGGATAAAAAATTGATCGTGTAGAAAATGGACTTACTACCATCTACACCAACATCTTCATAAGTATCATCTTCATCATCAGCCATGTCATCATCTCCCTCGCCATCACCAGTCTCTGCATCTTCATCATCTTCGTATCCATCAACAAGTCGATTTCGCTTGGACAACTTTAGCTTTTTTCGTTTTGTGTATGAGTAACGAGCAGGAGGAAGTTCAAGTCCAACATCTTCCCCATCTTCTTCCTGACGTCGATGCTGATCATGATGTCGATCTAACAACATTATCGAATTTGTTGTGAATTCACAATGGTTATATCGACATTTCAGGCGACCAACAGCTCCCCTCGATTGACGAGCGTTTCTTTCTTCAGCGTGCATACTTCGAATGTGCATATCTAAGTCTTTCTTAATCTCGAAAGTGGATTCACAATAACGACAAACGTGGCGACGATTAACTTTCAAAGCGTGAGCCCTTGTAATATGATGATTTAGTTGATTGAAACCTGGGAATCCGCGTTCACCACATACAGGGCACGATATGATTTGACTGCCTTCGTGGGCTTTTACATGAGCTTTCAATGATGCCACATCACTGACATAGGCATTACACGGTAAACACCGAAATTTAGTTTGTAGAGTACGAACAATACGGCAGCTTCTTGTATGCTTATTCAGGTTATATATGCTATCGAAGGTAACTGCACAACCCAAACACTCTAAAGCCAACTAGTTAAATTATACTATTATGTATACTATATAGCTCACCTGTGAAGATGCCATCATAGCGAAATGTTCCCGAAGTTCATGTTCTCTTGTTCGAAGATGAGCAAGGTAAATATCATAAGATGAAAAAGCTTTATTACACGTGTCACAACGGAATATCTTGTCCCGGTGAATATGTCGATTTCGATGAGTTTTCATATTTGCTTTCTGAGCAAAACGTTTATTGCAAACATCACAAACAAAAGGTTTTTCTCCTGTATGTGCCCGTTTATGATGTTCCATTGTCCCACCATTATTTGTCATATAGTTACACTGGTCACAATGAAATTTGAAATTGGCCGGATTTCGTTTTGGTTTCTTAGGATCAACATGACTGCGTCGAGCATGAAGAAATAACTGACTGAGAGTTTCGAAAAACTCTTCACATTGACGACATGTGTAAACTTTAACGAAATGTTTTTCGCGCATATGTTTAGTGAAAGCGTTAGCATTAGCATACATAGCTGGACAAGATGGACAACGGTAAGTGACACCACTAGATTGCCCTGTTAAAGCAACGAAACCAGGTCCTATACCTGATGCATCATAGTATGTTTTGGAATTCGGATCCCAAAGTTGCATTTGATCTGCTGGTAACTCGATGACCTGAGCCCCTTCCATACCAGGATCTGTGAACTAAAAGGTATTATGCATTGAAAATATTAGAAGATTACCTGTAGATACTCTGTACCATTCTCAGCAGCAATAGCTGTAACAGCACCCGAAGCAATCAGACTTTCCAATGTCGCTGTGTCATCAGCAGCAATTAGAACCATTTCTTCACCTTCATTGGACAAACCCATCTCATTTAGCTGCAATACCATTTGCCCATCTTCAGTCTGACTGAACGGTATGGCTGTGTATGTACCATCAGCATTTGCAATGTACGCTGATGGCTCATTAGGATCAACCATTTGGTCTGACATAGTTTGGTGTTTACAATATCCTGTTTAAAAGAGAGGAAAAGTAATGAAGCACAATTATATTTTATATGTTTAGGAAACGTTTAACGAGCGTAACACATCTAAAACAAACTTCTTGATAACAAGCAATATAACTAGTCATGCGATAGAGAAGAGTATCAATCTTGTGTAATAACGGCTAACATGTTTACATCGTTTATCACGAAAAGTCCGTAATTAATTGAAATAGCGGTGTCGAAGTTGTATGAACCTCATTGGAAAATTAAATGATAAAAATCCCTCAAAAAAAACGAGCTCGAAAAGTCAAAATTATAAAACGATGCTAAATCTGTGATCAAGGTTTTATATTTTTAAAACATCAAAATATTTGTCATGACTTTTCTGATCCAGTACAAAGTGATTTTAAAATGAAACAATCTATTGACTTATTCACCAGATACATGGGTATAAGCCACACTGTAAGTGTGAAGGCTACTGAAACTAATCGGTTGCCGACACAGATGGGGTAATGTTTGAACCTGGATGGCTGAAAGTCGGAAGCCTTAACCAGTAAGTCACCACTCCACATATATTGTACTTTAACGATTTCATATCTTGGAGGCTGTCGTTGTCCATTATGGTGACGCAGATGATCTACTCGATCCACCTCAGCTGAAAATGGGATACAAGATGACAACTATGATAGATGTTATTATCAAGTGTATTGACGCAGCACTTGCTGGATGTAAACAGTATCATAAGCCAAACTCACTGATTTTGTGGATTCTGCCACTTCATCAAGTCGATTGATTCAGGAGACAATCAACTCGCTTTCGACAGGGAAACTCTTGAAAGTAAGAACATCGTTGTTGACAAAGATACTGGTGTTCTTGGAGGATCCACACTGAGTATTTTAAAAGATACTCTGATTTCTATCAAACAAGTTAAACGTTCAGCCAGAATGTAATAAATATGGGTCCCTCAATCAAGCCTCATAGAACTCTAGGATGGAGACCATTCTAAAACGAAGCCGATCTAGATCCAGATGCAACAGTTGATGGTGAGAAATGTTAGGGAGTATGGAAAAAGTTCATGGATGCTACCAGTCAATTAGATATGGCCAAACAGCACTCTGACGTGATAGCTGGTATCAGTTAGTAATGAAAACCGAAGATCTAATTTATAAGACTAACATTCGACTGTAAATCTCAATCCTAATTCTTCACAAAAATTTATCACCCTCATTTAGCCCTAGAAAATAGGTAGACGTTTTCGGTATCACTTTAGCATCACTCAACGATCGTCCGCACACGAATTTTACTCGAAGAGTACGTAATATTATTGTTTGTAAAAATCCGTAGTTCAACGACTTATTGAACAGGCATAAAACCACTTAGAAATGGGCAAGTTAAACAAGAACACTTTATCGTACAAACCTTTGGTTGGAAGCATTAAAAAAGCTAACTACAACGGACAATAAATCAAACTAGAATTTAGGTTCCAATCCGTTAACTTCGAAAAGTGAGAGGGTAAAGCCAATTACTGTCACTCGACGCTGATAAACTCAGAAAAGCTGTCAAGAATAGTACTAATCTCTTCCGAAAACAGAAAAAGTGACAGAAGTCACGAGCCAAATGAGAAACTATGTCCAATAAGGAAAACATCCGATTAAAGTTGTAAAGCAGTCGGGAAACAGAACCGAATGCTAACAAATTTTGGTGGTTATGGTTAGTTCACACCTAAGCAACTGCGGTATGGATGACACCTCTTTTAGTATAAAGGTACCATCCGTTAGCGTCAAACATCAAGAAACTTAAAATAACTTTGGGAAACTTGTAAAGCACGTAAAATCGCTATATGCGCCTTAATTTTGCCTGTTAACGAATTATTTCGATAATTATTACCAGCCATTTCTCGAAATCTGTCCACTGATTGGTTAAAAACTGGCCCAACTTTCTCGATGTCAGTTTAGGGGTCAATGCTGTCCCTGCACTCCGATTTACCAAATCTCGACATAGGAGGCAGTGATAGGGCATACTTCACTACGGCATGCATTCGAAATCACATTTTAATTGGAAACCAGGATTTTAGTGGTCGCATTTAATGCCAATCTAGATTATAAACAAACGACCTGGCACGTATGTGCACCGATCCACGATGAAATTATCAAGACGAATAAAAATCTATTGTTATGCCTCATGGGTATGGGGGTTATAGTCTCGCCGGAATTTTAGCACCAAACCTTCGAGACCGACTCAACACTCTCTGTTAGTGTCTAATGAACATGATGTTCCATCATCTTGGCTGAGTTGTAGATATGGTTTAATGACAAGGTTGTCTCAGCCAACTATGTGGGATGCCGACGTCTGTAACTAAAGGATGTGGTCTACATAGACTGATCCAGCCAATATCAACTCAAACTGATGATCCGTAGTGCAAAGTTAAGAGAACTCTCATGATGATCACGCTTTGCACTAGGTATAAGGTTTTCTCAGCAAGTTCATAGTGAAGTCACATTAAGATTAAATTAATATTCCAAATCAAACAAGTCCATAGCAGAAGTTACCAAGTAACATAGAACCACTAAACATATATCAAGCCATTGAAGATGTTATTTGATACTACACATAACTGCTCGACTTTCCCAAAAGACTGGATGTCAACATCAGCACCCTGAATAAAGCCGGGTGGATAACTCATGAACAACCATAGTCTAGGTTATTCTGTATGCGGAGGATGAAATTTCTAACCATCTTTTTTGATTCAACATTGTTCGAAGAAAACTGTTGCAAGTGATTAGGTTGATTCTGGAGACAATAATATAATGGTATACGTTATATGACCAGAAGAGCGATTCGAACTTAATGAAAAACCAGGGAGTCACCAGGTTATATTTCATATTAATAGGTAGAATACATACCCCACAAGGTAAACGCTAGAGAGCAATGATTAAAATAAAATCATATATAATAGATTGTTTGATTTTACAGGGATTCCCTAACATAAAATCTTACATTCCACGCTAATAAGCACCTGAATACTGAGTAGTCAGACAAGCTAAGAATCTGAATGGACGCTCCTCTTCTAACAGCGGGATAGTTAAGTAGACAAAGCCGAATAATTCAGAATGGTATGTAACGACATAACGTTACACATAACTTACATCGCCAAGTCAAACAAAGAATCATCGTGAATGCTACAGTATATCTTCAGAAACATACAAGGCCGTGTGACACTCACACTAGTATGATAATACGTCAAGCATGAATAAACCATATACCAATCGATCCTCCCACCCATCATCAAACACACTAAAATAGTAATTAAAACAACAAAAACCACCTTCAACAAACAAGCAAAATGGCGGAAGTCCAAAGTGGGTTCCCTGAGAGTGTTAGTACATTAAAACAAAAATAGGCTCAGTTTGAAAAAGAAGCTATGGTAACAAACTTTTGCAGAATTTGCAATATTTTGCATTTTTATGAAACATATGCACTCTTGACAGCGATTCATTTATCGAATAAGGAGTGTACTTCGTCTTCTCGAAAGCGAAACTGTCCAGGTCTGAAATCTAGGTTCTTGCTGAGTTATGATGGGATGAAAAGTCAAAATTTGATTGATTTATTCATTATAATTTCTATTCAATATTAAGCTCGTTTAATTCAACTTGATGACTTCTCAACCTAGTATTTGTTTCGTCATCCCCTATGACATTTTATTCTGTATAACATATGATATTCTTGTATGAAATATTCATATACGTCGTTTATTATGGTTATTAATTAAAAATGGGTGTACAAACAAGTATATAAATGAGTGTCTTTCTGACCAGACGGGTCGGGATTGCTCATGCTTCTGGATACTTGCAGAATATACTACCCCGTTCTAAACTTCGATTTCTCTCTCTAGTTAGCGGGGCCGGGACTCATCAGATTATCTAGCTTATTGGTCTTTGTTAACAGAGTCTTTGTTCTGTCCGCAGATTGAGTGAACTCGTAATCGCTTCAAACATAGCACGCTGTGAGATTAAATTATGATTTATTCAGAAAATCAGTGTGGCGCAAACAAACCGTCAGTTGCAGCTTATCAAGGGGTCGAACGATGCTCGTATCGAACTTCCTTAAGTTGGCTACAGAAAGACAATTAGAAAGAAAACGGTTATAGTTGGATTGAGGTGTGCGTTTAACCTTGGAATGAAGTAGTAAATATCCGCGGTCAAGCGTTTTCATCTTCAAATGTCCGTTAAGAATAAAGGTAGCATTGATGTTAGGAGCTAACATAATCATTCATCTTAGAAACCACTCCATCAAAGGACCAAGTGCATTTTTCAAGTTCTGGCGTATAGAGATATCTACTTGATTACAGAAGGTGGTCTTATATACTGATACTCTCAGTTACTGCTCACAGTTATTACAATATTAGGTCAGTTCAGTTGTCGGCTAACTGGTCTAAAGTAAATCTCTAGAGCTGGTTACAGTTTGTTAAGCACGCGAGAACGACAATGACAATAATTATGAGACAAGATTTACTTACACATACCGTACAAAAGCAGCTAGTATATTACGGTCGAACTTGTTTAAAACGTCCTTTCACTTATAGAGCAAACTACAGTTATTTTGTATATGACCCTAAACTATAGATGGAATCAAGCAATTATAAAGATTGTTGAATTTAAGGTGGTGCCTTTGCTCGTAAAGTTAAGGTTTGTCACGAAGATTACAGTTTTTCTGTTATCCAATAAAAGAAAATTCCTAAGAGGGGTGGCGTATTGACTACTAGGCTTGTTTAGCGCCTTCAAATACTGTTGATTGTCAGGCTGTACTTTCATGGCAATTACTGTCATTTTGCAAAGTGTACAAAAATACGTCAAGTAGGAAAGTATTTACTATCAAGTTTACCTTACCAGACTTCGGCCATCTAGTTACCTGCCACTGTGGCGTTTATACTGTATTCAGTTACTTTTTTGGTTATCTTGATAACAAATAAAAGCGGGGTTACATCTATCTCATTCGGTATTGGGTGACGAGGTAAGCTCAGATTTCGGAGACTTTGATGTTACAGCAATTATAATGTCCGTTCAACTATAGAAAATGACTTGGCAAACAACTAAGCAACCAATTAAACTGTTTAAACATCGGGTATGTTCTAAGACATTGTGTAGAAAATAAGATGGTTTGGTTATAGACAAACAAACAAAATTCATACATCGCTCACTGAAGGAAATATAGCACTCACACAAAACAAAGAAGTAACAACTGCAAACACATATTGTCACGCTTTCTTTCTAATAGTAAGTTACATCACTCGATTCTTCAGGTAAGTAATAGAGTGCCGCAAATTACTAGATTGTAACAGATCGCATCTCTGACGTAGGTTACTTAATGCAGATACTACTGGAAAGTAGTGTTGAAGTAGTCAATCAATTTGAGCAGGTAAAATAAAAGAGTTGTGAACTAAGATGACAGTCGCCAGAATCTGACTACATGCGAAACGAAATTTGTT